ATACCCGTCGCACGTTCCGCTGCTTGATGGGGAGCCCCATCGAGGGCCTCAGTGGCGGGGTCAGAGTGGCCCCGCCCCGCCCATTCCGGCACCCCCTTTACACGTTTCGCGGCCCCATCGGGGGCTCCACCGAGGGCCCCACCGGCAGGGTCCGCAGGGCGTCCCCCCCCCGCCCATTCCGGTACCATCCTTCGCGCAGTTCGTGACCCCATGGGGGACCTCCGCGGGCCCATGTGCAGGTTCCGCATGGCCGCGCTCACACTTGTCGCGGCTCCATGGGGAGCTCCACGGAGTGTCCCGGTGGCACGATCCGCATGGCGCCACGTCGCCCATGCTGGCGCATCCCTCGCACGTCACAAGTTTCGTGGCCCCACACGGAGCTCCGACGAGGGCCACAGTGGTAAGGTCCTTCTGGCGCCACGACGCCCCGCCTATGTCGGCAAATGCCTCACACGTTTCGTGGAACCATGTGGAGCTCCGCCGAGGGCCACAGCGGCAGGGTCCACATGGCACCACCCCGCAAATTTCGGCACATCTCGCACACGTTCTTCACCGAGGGCCCTAGTGGCAGGGCCCGCACGACCTCGCCCCGTTCCGTCATATCTCTCACAAGTTTTGTGGACCTACGGGAAGCTCCATCGAGGGCCTCAGTTGCAGGGTCCCCATGCGGGCCCGCCCATTTCGGCACATCGCTCGCACGCTTCGTGGCCCCACCTTTCTTGCCTGGTACGGTGCTCAAACCTGCACGTGGTTCGGTCCTTCGCCAGGGTTTTATTTTGTGGTATCTGGTAGGTTCTGGTGGCTCGCAGGGGGCAGCCCCCCAAGCTAATCCCACACTCACAACAACCGTTCCTGAGCTTCCAGACGAAGCGTTTTGGAAAGATGATGTGAAATTTGGGACGGGCCGCGCAGCTGTCGGGGGTGCCGGAGATGGAGTCGGCTTTTGACTTCGTTGCGTAAGTCTAGGGGTGCACGGAAGGACACGATGGCCCGTTGCGTGCGGTGGCTCGCCGTGTAAAGTTTTTTTTTTCACCATGCCCCAGATTTGGCCCCTAGCAAGGTTGCGGAAGACGTGCTCGCTTTCAAGGCTTCCCTTAGTTCATAAGCGGCGGAAGCTGGATCACCGATCGGCCCTTTTCATACGTGTTGTCCTGTTCGACATGTTTGCTTGCCAACTGGAGCCGCAAGCGCTTGAGGCGGGTTTGGGCGACATTCATACCCTGCCACGATGTCATGCGGATTTATCAGACCAGTGATCAGTCGCGGCGTTGCCACTGTCTTACGGTGTCAAAGTCTGATCGTGTTGGCACAGCAAGCGAATGCATACTAAGGATGTGTGTATCGCCTAGTGTTACTTCTTGGCCACCAGCGCGTCATAGTCATGCCGGCTATGTGCTCAGCAAACTCGGTCCGAGGGGATCTTCTTTACTTCCGATGACGCTATCCAGAGCCATCGTCGCACTTGTGCTCAGCATGAAGTTGAAAGCTGCGGCTATGTCTCCTCAACTCGGGGTATAGCGTTCCTGTTTTTGGACGCGCTTCACGCTGCATCCGCCACTCTCCAGCACTGGGCTTTGTTGACATATTGCGGTATCGTCAGGCCAGAGAAGAGGACAAGCTGCAGTTCTTACCATCGCCGGCCCAGCTTGAGCAGCCGAAGCCAAAGGCAGAGGCGATGAAGGGGAAGGGGGGAGGGCAGGGCATGGACGAGAATATTCGTCGCGCCCTGCATCGGGTGAGGGCGGTGCGTCAGTGGGGTTTTGTGCAGGGTGTGTGAGTGAGAGCTAAGCTGGAGCACACGACAGGGAGATCTACTGCGACACGTTTGGGGTGGTCGAGATGAGGGCGTGTGCATGTCTGTGCGTGTCTTAATGTGTGTGTGGGTGTGTCACTACGTGTGTGGGTGCTGGCAGACACTTCGGCCGAGCTCCACCGTCTTCGGGACGCCAGGGCTGGCGTACATCAGGGCAAGGCATCTATCTCGGCTGGAGTCGGTGCGCAGGAGGGGCCCGGCTCCCACGCTCCCAAGGTGTGTGTGTGTGTGTGTGTGTGCGCGTGTGTGTGTGTGTGTGTGTGTGTGTGTGTGTGCGTATGTATGTGTCTGTGTGTGTATGTGTGTGTGTGTGTGTGTGTGTGTGTGTGTGCGTGCGCGTGTTCACTTTTCAGTAGGTGTGTGCAGTCTGGGGTGTGTATGCGTGTGGGGAGAGAGAGAGAGAGAGAGAGAGAGAGAGAGCGACATATAGAGATAGAGAAATTTATTATCATACGCACCTCTCCGAGGGAGTAGAGCTCAGAGGCGATTAATGCGTACGCGCCGCGTCGTTCGCGATTCTGGCCGTTTCGCTAGGGACATCTTCGACATTTCTGTGGCACCCCTCACACAGATCGTGACGTCAGGGTCCAACATCACATGGGAATTCCAACATTCTAACATAAAACATTCAAAAGCACATCGTAATTTCATGATTTTGACCCCGATTCTCAGAGAATGTTGGTTTCGCCTGAGACATCCTCCCAACATCGAGCCCCGACGTACCTTCTGGTACCCCAGACCCCGCCTCGGAGCCACCTGGGGGCCTCCTGGAACCTCCTGGGGCCTCCTGGAGCTTTCTGTACCTTCTGGACCCCAGATCCTGCCTCGGAACCTCCTGGGGTTCTCCTGGAACCTCCTGGGGCCTCCTGGGGCCTCCTGCGGCCTCCTGGAGCCTCTTGGGGCCTCCTGGAGCCTCCTGGGGTCTCCTGGGGCCTCCTGAGGCCGCCTGGGGCCTCCTGGGGCCTCCTGGGGCCTCAGAACTACATGCACACACAGAGACACAAATCACACCCAACACATCACACGCTAGACAAACATAACACACACACATAACACCTACAGCGCACAGAAAGCACGCACAACACAGAGCACATATCACACACACACACCCACACAACACTCATAATTCTGGGGCCTCCTGGAGCCTTTTCCGGTATCCGAATTGGGCTCCTGAGGCTTCCTGGGGGGCCCTGGTACACACATCGCAAGGTGTGGCAACCCCATGTTCACCTGCGACATCCTCGCAACTCTGGGTTTCAAGATGCTCTGAACTCAGGTGTTCAGGCCACTTTCGCCTGAGATATTCTCGCAACTCTGAGTTCCGAGATGCCCTGAGCTGAGGTGGTCAGGCCACTTTCGCCTGAGACATCTTCGCAACGCTGACCTCGGAGAGGCATTGCCCTCGTCGATCCTCCTGCTCGATCCTCAATCCTTTTGGGGGGGCTCTTATTCGATCTTAGATTATTCTGCGTTCACCTCCTGCCTCTCCCCTTTCTCTTAGGCACGCCCTGGCGGCGCCGCCCCAGCTTCCCCTTCTCCATCTCCGATCCCGCCGTCATGGTGTCTTCCTGCTTGAACCGCCCTTCCAGTTTTTCCCAACCCTCCTTGGTTGGGTATTCGTTTTGAATAGAGCAGTGTGGTCGCGTCCTTCCTCCTCCCGCCTCCCGCCTCTTTCCTGCCTCTTTCTGTCTTGCCTGCGGGGGGCTGTGAAACTGTCGCCAGTTTCGAGGCCTGCTGGGGGGTCCAGCATAGAGGGTAATCGCGGCAGATCCAAATTAGACCTCGCCATTCCTGGGGGGCTGCGATCTGTGAAACTGTCGCCACTTTCGAGGCCTGCTGGGGGGCTCAGCATAGAGGGTAATCGCGGCAGATTCAAATTAGACCTCGCCATCCCTGGGGGGGGGGGCTGCGATCTGTGAAACTGTCGCCACTTTCGAGGCCTGCTGGGGGGTCCAGCATAGAGGGTAATCGCGGCAGATCCAAATTAGACCTCGCCCTCCCTGGGGGGCTGCGATCTGTGAAACTGTCGCCACTTTCGAGGCCTGCTGGGGGGCCCAGCACAGTGAGGGCCACGCGCGGATTCAAATTAGACCTCGCCATCCCTGGGGGGCTGCGATCTGCGAAACTGCCGCCATTTTCGAGGCCTGCTGGGGGGCCCAGCACAGTGAGGGCCACGGGCAGATTCAAATGAGACCTCGCCGTCCCTGCGGGGCTGCGATCTGTGAACCTGTCGCCACTTTCGAGGCCTGCTGTGATCCCCGTTTTCGAAGTGGCTAGGAGTGCTCGGGAATTGTAAAGCATCAGCTTTATCAAGCCCTTTTCCTGTAGCCAGTGTCCTGCGAGTCTCCCGAATTCCGTCTGCAGACATATGTAACCCTCGCTCCGTCATCGCCCCCTTATAAAGTATCCTAAACTATTTGCGCCCCGCTTTTGCGCAGGGGTTGGGTACGTCGCCAGGGTAATTTGTATGAGCCTGGGCACACACGTGCCACTTTCTTATGTATATATATATAGAGAGAGAGAGAGAGAGAGAGAGAGAGAGAGAGAGAGAGAGAGAGAAAAGAGACAGAGAGAAAGAGAGAGGGAGAGGCAGAGCGAGATAGAGAGATAGGCAGTACACAGAGTCAGAGGCAGAAGGATACAGTCAGCCCAGCACGTGCTCGTGCATGGGAGCATCGCGTCAACCGCATGCGTGTGTGTTTGCATATGTCTTCTCGGGACTGCCAGGGCACCATACAGAATTGTACAAGCCAGCTGAATCGAGAAATCGGGGCGGCCGCACTTTTGGCTGCGCTGCGAAGCGGTGAAGGAAGAACATAGGTTGCATAACGGCTGTCGTTTTTCTGTCCTCTGGATCTTCTTAGATTCCCACCTGCGATGGTAACGATGGTGCAAGCCTGATGGCGCGATGGCAGTTCTGACCCGTTGCGAAAGTTTCACGTCGAGCACCGAGGTGGTTGCGGCAGCGCTTGGCGGGACCCCCTTCTCTCCGCCCTTAGACTCCCAGAACAGCGTGTCCAGCCTGGCTGGGCCAGAAAAGTTTCCAGGGTTCTCCATGACCGAATCCACGAACTAGCCAGGAATGTATACACTATCTCCGCCTACAAACTGACTGGGCATAAGCATCTTCCGCTTACCTGCAGGTGCTGCATTCTTGTGTGAAGGGTCCGCATGGGAGTTCTGGGAGGCTCCTGGCATTACGATAAAGCCCATAGAGCGTTCCAAGGAACGCCGCATTTTTGCTCTGCTCTTTCCCTCTAGAGGTGGGCAGGGAAGAGGGACGCAAGAGAATGGGTGATGAGAAGGAGGAGAAGGAGGAAGAGGAGGAGGAGGAAGAGGAGGAAGAGAAGGAGAAGGAGGGGGAGGAGGAGAAGGAGGAGGATGAGGAGGAGGAAGAGGAGGAGGAGGACAAGGAGGAAGCGGAGGAAGTGGAGGAAGAGAAGGAGGAGGAGGAGGAGGAGGAGGAGGAGGAGGAGGAGGAGGAGGAGTAGGAGGAGGAAGAAGAGGACGTGGGGGAAAAGCAGGATGGGGAGGAGGGAGGTGAAGAGCAGGCCAAGGAGATCATTGCATCGCGGACCGTCCAACCACGGGCAATGAGCGGCAAGCGTTGCAGAGGGACACGGCGAAGAGAAGCGTTGTGGTGTCGACGCTGCGCACTGGGCTGCCAACTCAGGTCCCAACGATGGCAAATCGGCAATTTATGACCCGATGAATCCTGGCCAGAGTAATCGGTGGCTAGCTGGCATGCCTGCCCCAGGCAGAGACATTACAGTTGGAGTACCTTCGCCGAACGATCGAACGCATTCGAGTAGCGGCAGATGAACAGCGTTCCGGGAGACTTTTGAAGCATGGCGATTGCATTATCCTCAGTGCACGATCGACGCCCAGGCGTCGCTGCAAAATGAGCACCCCTGTAGGCGGCGCGTCGTCCATCGCGCCGCCTTCTCTCATGGTGAGTGGCTGCGTGGAGGATCGTTCGTCGGAGGAAGGTCTTTTCATGGTGCTCGATGTGTCGGCAGCTGCTGTGATGAGGGCCTCTCTGGGGACGTGCGGCCGCAAGGCTTGCTTCCTGGGGCGACGTGCGCGCGCCCATCTCCGATCGGAGAGCGCCTCGCCGGGCCGGTGCTCGGCGTCTGCCGGGCGCTCTGGCGGAGCTGCACGTCGTCGGGCCCGGCTAGGACAAGGGTAATCGACTAAACGTAAGAGTGACCTTTCGCAGGAGTGAGCTTTGGTGAGGGCACAGATGGGTCCCAAAATGATTGAAAACGAAGCAGTAGCAGCTGGTTGCGCGCCCAGATTTGGTCCCCCCGCGGCCCCCAACAAGCCGAGCACCAAAGGTCACTCTTATCCAGGATCACTCTTGCGTATAGCCGAGATAAATCCGCTCTAGAGCGTTCCCGAGCGCTCTCAGAGCGTTCCGGAACGCTTTGAGAAGATCGCGGCGCTCGAGACATGCTCGCTGAGTTAATCCTCGTCCTGGCCTTAAGTCGGGCATGTCCCTCTCAGGGAGGAATATTCAAGAATAGTCTAAATATAGTCTGGGGGCGATTTGTTCCATCAGGTTAATTCTTTTAATACTATTTTTGGTTTTTCTTCCAATCCCCGCCTGTAGGGGGACGTGCCCGACCTAATCCTGGCCTCGTCTTACGGTGGGGGCGTTGGTCGAGGAACGTGCCCAGGAGGCTTCAGGCCCTGGGGGCTTCCTTCTCTCGCAAGGGTGGCGGTGACATCCACTGCCAATCCGCGATCGAAGTTCCACTGGCCTCGAGACCCTGGACTCCTCATCCATTGGTTCCTCCTTCTATGCCCTCACCGTGGGGCGCTCGTCGTGCCGCCCCTGGTGTCGGTGGGCCAGGGGCGGTGGGCCAGGGGCTGGGCGGCGCGACACGAGCGGGCGGCGGCGGCCGCGGCCCGCGAGCGCGGCCAGCGCCCGCGCCCTCGAGTCCAGATGCGTGCGCGGGCCCCGTGTGGCCCTCGAGGAGTTTTTTTTTCTTTGGAAGGGCTCGCACCGTGCCTTTGCGAAGCTGCGCGTCGGTCCGCCCGCGGGGGCTCGGCCGCCGCGCGGCGCGCACCCGGGCCCGCTTCCCGCGCCGCGCCCCTGGCGCGCCGACGCGCGGTCCTCTCCTGCTGCTGCTGCTGCTGCTGCTGCTGCTGCTGCTGCTGCTGCTGCTGATGGCGGTCGATGGTCTCCCTGCAGCCACCTCTCCAGCTCCCCCTCGCCGCAGCTGGGCGGGGGGGAGGAGTTCATTGGGGAAACTGTGAGAAGGGAAAAGGTGGTGAGGAGCCTCCCGCGAGGAAAAGGTGAGAGGGGGCTAGGGGGGTGGCGCCTGATGTAAAGCAGCACAGATGGAGGGCCAAACCACCCCAAGGGCGAGAAGGCGAATCCCCAGGGGAGGGAGCGGAAGAGCGAGGCAAAGGAAACGGGAGGAGAGGGAGAGAGAAGGAGAGGGAACGGGGGTTCGCCTCTAGACCCTGGGGGTGGTTTGGTCGCCCGTACCGCGAGGGAAAGGAAAGAGGCCCCCTCCTCCTCCTCCTCCTCCTCCTCCTCCTCCTCCTCCTCCTCCTCCTCCTCCTCCTCCTCCCTCCTCCTCGTCCTCCTCCTCCTCCTCCTCCTCCTCCTCTTCCTCCCCTCCTCCTCCTCTCCTCCTCCTCCTCCTCCTCCTCCTCCTCCTCCTCCTCCTCCCTCC